TCTGATTGGTTGAGAGCTTCTTTTCGGCTTCTGGATTCTGATTGGTCGACAGCTTCTTTTCGACTTTTAGATTGTGATTGGTTGAAGCATGTGAATCGGATCCTGGTTTTTGATTGGGTGAGATCTTCTTCTCGGCTCCTTGGTTCTGATTGGTTGAAGGGCTTGTATTCTTTGGCTTGTTTTCCGTTTCTTTTCTTGCATTGGCTGTAGAATTGGTTTTGACCGAAATCCTTTGTCGAGCTTCAGTATTTCGAGATTTTAAATCTTCCTCATCCGTTTTGTCAATTTCTTGAATTTCATCGTTATTTATTTGATCTTCTTTTGTATCTGTGATTAAGGCAATGACACTATCATCAGTTGTTTCTAATTTTGTTAAAATTTCAGGCGAATTATCTGCATCTTTACTTTTAGAAATGATGCTTTCATTGTTTGGCTTAGAATCATTTTTGTTTTGTTTTTCATCAAATGACGGACGCTTAGAAGCACTGATTATTTCATCTACTAGACTTTTTTCATCAATTTTTTCCATTTCATTTTTTGTCTGTTCCACAGTCTGCTTTGTCTTGTCTTTGTTTTCCAAAACCATTCCGAAAATGTTTCCAGGATCGTCCGGAAAAAATTCAGCTGGTTTTGAAGTGTTCTTCAGCTTGTCTTTCAAATCGTCATTTTTAACCAACTTTTCAATTTTTGTTTCGTCAATTTGAGTAACTTTTGAGTTTCTTGTCTCCGACGAATCTCTAAACGTACCTATAGGCGGTAGCACAAAATGAGGGGTTAAACGTGTCGGACTTCTGGTATCTCGAATTATGGAATCAGATGATTTTATTTTACTGGCAGTAATCGAATGCGCATTTTCAGGCGACTCAATATGGGGCGACAAAGCTCTAAATTGAGTGTCATTCACAATTTCGTCAGTTGAAAGGCGAATTGCGTTTTCCGAATCAAAAGATCTTTTAATAGGGTCCGGGTTTTGTTTTCGACTACGAAATTGATTTCGTCGATCGGCCAAGCTTGGTTTTCTTGCCG